ATATATAAATATGAATATATATAAATATATTTATAACCAAGTTAGTGTGACAGACATAACAGTTTTGGAATAGAAAGAGCACTGTTGATGTCTTTCAGAAACCAAGTCAGTGTGCAGGACATAAGAGTTGGGGAGGAATCATTTTGAGCACAGGTTGATTTTTTGGGATGACCTATATCAAGAGTCGTCATTTTTAAATGGCACGAGGAGGAACCAAGCGTGACAATGAATGACTTTGAGAAACGTGGCTGACAAGTTCAACTGATTGAGGATGTTGAATCGCGGAGTGAAATAGAGGCTCCTAATTCGTCTCAATATTAACAAATTTTTGTTACCCCATGTCTTGCACCTTAACCGCATTAAGATTTTACATTGTGCTTGTATGAAGTGAGCCGTGTTGTGTAATACGCTGTGAACTCTACATTTCAGGCTCATTTCAAGTGTGACGCCTACAACACCATCCCCCATGAGGATCTCACGAGGTAATCAAAATGTAATTTAGTTGGTGGCACATGTCATGTGACAGCTATTGGGATATTTGGTGCGACAGTTGATGGCACATGTCATGTGACAGCTATTGGGATATTTGGTGCGGCAGTTGATGGCACATGTCATGTGGCAGCTATTGGGATATTTGGTGCGGCAGTTGATGGCACATGTCATGTGGCAGCTATTGGTATATTTGGTGCGGCAGTTGATGGCACATGTCATGTGGCAGCTATTGGGATATTTTGTGCGACAGTTGTTGGCACATGTCATGTGGCAGCTATTGGGATATTTGGTGCAGCAGTTGATGGCACATGTCATGTGACAGCTATTGGGATATTTGGTGCGGCAGTTGATGGCACATGTCATGTGACAGCTATTGGGATATTTGGTGCGTCAGTTGATGGGACGTTTAAAGGGGACCGCTGTGCTTGCAGAACAATTAAACTACAATTTAATCATTCTGGGGAGTGTTCTCAGATAGATTGTCCGGGATTGGCCCCATAGTTCATACTAACAATTTTAAGGTTTTTCAACATTAACAACAAAAGTGTTTAGGAGATCATCGAACATTTTTAGGAAAACATTTGTTGAACTTCATGGACCGTGTTTTAATTCATAGACCTCATGTCACATAAAAAAAAACCATGTATTATGTCATAGACGCTGTATCAAATTATTGACCACTGCTAAGATTATGGACCATAGCAAGGACCGTGCGTCCCATTATGGACTGCGTATTACATCATAAACGGTATGTCACATTGGCCGTGTGTCACATTTTGGACCGTGCCTTACATCATGGACCGTGTGACACATTATCAACCGTTTAGTACATCATGGTATGTGTGTCAAGTTATTGACCATGTATTACATTGTGTACAGTTTGTATTAATTTTCTAAATATGCTATTTTAATTTTTAATTTCAGATTAGTGATATACTTTGCACTCGATTTGTCTCCTAAACTTTGCCCTGTGTTGGTCTCATAAATACTTGTCCCATTTTCCAGTTATTTTCAGTTTGTTCAGAGACGAGGTCCCTCCCAGAAGGCTGATAATAATAACGCTCACGTGCTGCGTCTTGTTGATGTTCATCCCCAACTTCAATGTCCTGCCGGATCGGAGAAAGACCTGGTGGCCGTCACGAACATGCAGACAACCCGCTCAGCTCGTGACCTCCTCTCCCATGCCCCATCCGTTGAACCGCTTACGTCTTAAGCACAGATGCCGTTTGGGGAACAACCTGGAGATTAGAGTAGATGAAGATTTCCAGTTATTCACTGACTGGTCCCGTTCGAGAGGTGACCAGAATCGACCGGTTTGTAAGTACCAGGTGATATACGATAGCCGAAAAAGTGTTGGCTTTGAGCTGGGGGCGTGGAGCGTTTGGTTTAACACCGTCGTGCAGTTACCCAGGGAGACGGAATACCTTCACGTTGTCTGTGCCGTGAACAAGACAACTCTGGCCGATGAGTTCATGGCGATGGCGCCAACACGCATGTCGATCGCTGGACGAATCAAGCAGCAGATCCGCACACCAAAAGTGTCCCCCGGAACCTACCAATCAAAATTGAACTTCATAATCGTGACAATAGAAGGTTTATCGAGCATCGATTTCGTGCGGTCCATGAGCTACACTCATGAGTTCATCTTCAATGATTTAAAGTCCTTTGAGCTGAAGTACCATGCTCAGCTGGGTGCCTCGGTCCCTGACAATATCATCCCGCTGTTGACTGGTAAATCTGAGAATGAAATGGTCATGGACCGGAAGCTGTTAGACAAAGACGTCCCTCGGCTGAATGCCCTACTTTGGGATGACTTTGAAAGAGAAGGTTACTTGACACTGAGCACCGAGGACGACCCAGTAGAAGGTATGATCCCTCACCTCATGAAGTGGTTCGACTCTATGCCCACCCACTACAGCACTCTGCCGCTCATACGAGCCTTACACTCGGCCAACGTGCTGACAGAGAGCCCCAGACCCTGTCTCCGAGATGAAGCGTCCCGTCAGAACTTTCACCTGGGATATTTACGGAAATTCTTCAAACAGTTTCCCGACCAACCATTATTTTCTTACTTGCATTTTTCGGGGCTGAATCTAACAGACGCGTACGAGACAACAGTTTTGGACAATGACCTGCGACACTTTTTAGAAGATTTCTTGGAACTGGGTTACCTGAACAACAGCGTGCTTGTCCTGACGTCCGGCGACGTTCATCAGACGGAGCCTGTAGGCAGCGCAGATGTCCTGAAGACGCCATTCGCCTTCCTGAGTTTACCGCATTGGCTGGCAGACGACTACCCGGATGCCGTGAGCAGCCTCAGACAAAACTCCCAAACGCTGACAACAAACTACGACCTTTACGAGACCATCGTGGACCTGTTGCATCTAAACGACCCCGGCTCACGATATGCCCCAGGCAGAACCGTAGGTCAAAGTTTATTGAGAGGGATTCATCCTGGCCGTGACTGTAAGAGCCTACTGGTGCCCGCAGAGTTTTGCGTGTCTGCTTGTTGACCAAGACCTCTGGCAGCCGGTTATGGTCTCACTCATAAAAAGGGTTTTTTATCTCGAAATATTCTCTTTATTTCGTCACTCTGCAATTTTTTTAACCTTCCAAACACACTCTCTGAAATTTTTTTAACCTTCCAAACACACTCTCTGAATTTTTTTTATTTTTTTTAAAAAGAAATATTTAATTAAACGCCATATTCAACAAATGTACCCGAATGCTGACGCCCACCGAATACCATGACCTGATTGATTGATGGAAGCTTCTTTGAAGATCGAGTATTTATTTATCCAATAAATCTGCCAGACACGAGCCTGGAAAGTTTCTTGCTTTGGGGAGCCTGGAACGTTGTTTTGAGAATCAGCGGGGAAGCCGATGTTATGAACGAAATGTTCATGTTCTAAATGTTCATGTTTAACTTGCTTCCATAAGAAGTAGAAAATGTGTAAACCTTTTCTTTAAAAAAATAATATTTTTTTAAATATTAAATTATAAAAAAAAAAAAAATAACGCTTTGCCTCCTTCTCTTAATGTGTACAAATTGTTACCATATTAAATGTTCAGCTATAGTTAGTTACATTTATTAAGTTTTCAGCTGGGTTAGGGTGTCCGAGAATTTAGCACCTTCACATTGGTTTGCATTAAGGAAATAAAAGACGTGATCGGACAAGTTAATCGAACGAGTTGATCGGACGAGTTTATTGGTTGAGTTTATAGGATGACTTGATCGGACGAGTTGATCGGACGAGTTGATCGGACGAGTTGATCGGACGAGTTGATCGGACGAGTTTATTGGTTGAGTTTATTGGATGACTTGATCGGACGAGTTGATCGGACGAGTTTATTGGTTGAGTTTATAGGATGACTTGATCGGACGAGTTGATCAGACGAGTTGATCGGACGAGTTTATTGGTTGAGTTTATAGGATGACTTAATCGGACGGGTTGATCGGACGAAGTCTACTTTGCAGTAAATCACTCCTCATTTGGATATTATATATGACACATTTATATTATGCTACACACGTAGCATACGTAACATATATTACATACATAACATACTTATCAAACTATACTTACTTAACTAAGTCAACTAATGATACAGAGTATGAACCTAATTCAAAACATTAATATAGGCCTACATGCTCCAAAACGGCAAACACTTAATTATACTTGAATTGAACAACCATAAAATACAAAGTCCCTGAATAAATCCTTTACAAAATGTAATATTGTGCAATAGGGGGTTGGGCTGAATATTTGACAAAATATGCATTCAGGTAACGTACTTTACAAGAATCCCAAATAGTGTCCACTCCCACAAGCTGACAATTTGATAGAATCTGTTGCCATTGGCAGCTCGATAGGATGTCAGGAAGTAGGTCAATTTGGCGTCCGAAGACTTTGCCATGGACCCAGCCATAAATAAACACACGAACAAAAACGAATTGAATGTAATGGATTTAAAAAATAAAGAGATCTTATCATGCGATGGTGCTTCCTGTTAAACAAACATACGACAAAAAATGTTTTCTACTCCTTATTTCAAAACTCGGGATGGCTACTGAAAACACAGTCTTATTTAATGCCAGGTTTTGTAAAAGCTTAAGTACGCCAGCTTTGAGTTTTAAGAAAAATTTTCCCTTCATATAATTTGATAGACTGACCATACAGGTCGTATACTGACAATACAGGTCATACAACGACATGACAGTTCGGAGACTGACCATATAGATCTGTCACCCAATATACAATTCGTAGAATGTCTATACAGTTCGTATATTGCCGATTCAGATCGCATAAATACCATACTGAACATAAAGTTCGGGCCAGAAATGGCTTATCTTCCAAAGTTTTTGTGGACATTATTGACCTTACTTACCTGCTCCCCCTACGGCAGAATAAGGAGCTTATGCTCTTCTCCCTTTAAAGGAATATTTTGTATAATTGTTAAAAATATTAGAAGGAAACAAAAAACAGCCCCCGGTGCCAGACTGGGTTATTTTCTAGTAATTCTAAACTTTGGTGTTTTTTTTAAAATCATCTCCTTGAATGAAGATTTCCAAGCATTTTTTTCTAGCAGACGTTTTAAAGATTAATAAATTATTTTTTTTCTAAATTAGAAAAGAAAATGACATTTGAGAACCACATTATACTCCTATGTTTATTTTATAATATTTGCTTGTTTTTTGGGGTGTTTTCTGCCGAAGAAAGCTTTTGGCCGACACATTTTGTTTCGTTAAGTGGTGTCTTTTTTATGCTCTACACTCAAGTATGTTCGTTTTTAGTTCCTGTGCAACTTGGCCCCAGTCTCATGTACATTGGGGATTAACGTAAACGGTTAAAAGGTTCACACTGTGCAAAACTAAATTTGAAATTTTACTTTAAATATACCATTTCCTTTTTTTTTGTCCTTAAATTCATATAGGACGAAGTCACACTAGGATAGATTAGACATTTGTTCAATTATTTCAAAATGAAAAGTAAGAGCTACCTTTTGTATGTCAAATATTTTGACACGAAACTGTGGGCCGTTGCCCATGATAAAGCCACGCTGTTACACAAGACTTTTCAATGGACCATTTTAAATGATAGTGGCACGCTTTACAAACATTCGGTAACGAAATCATGAAGAGGAAGGTGAGGGATGAATGCATTCAATCAAATTAAGTCGGTGACACTTGCACCCAGATAGATCGATATCCGATTAAACATAAAATATGTTACATTCTATCCACTTAAAAAAAATCAATACCTAGTCAACTACTTTTTAAATACTTTCCACACTCAAATCAATACACAAACCAAACAAGCCAAATACCTGTCAAACTCTTGGTTTCATCTATGCAGTACAGAGCGTACCGATCAAACTCTTGGTTTCATCTATGCAGTACAGAGCGTACCGATCAAACTCTTGGTTTCATCTATGCAGTACAGAGCGTACCGATCAAACTCTTGGTTTCATCTATGCAGTACAGAGCGTACCGATCTAATTAGGCCAAATGTACCTCAAATGTTGTTCCGCAATATGATAAGAAGTGTACTGCCCAACATGTAACTTTCCAAGAGATATGTGATACAAAAATTAAAATAAGCTATATTACAAAAACAATATCTCACTCATATATCTTAACTCATAAAATCTCACTAATACAACCTCATTAATACAACTTCATTAATACAACCTCACTAATACAGCCTCACTAATGCAACTTCATTGATACAGCCTCACTAATAGAGCCTCACTAATACAACCTCACTAAAACAACCTCACTAATACAACCTCACTGGTACAACCTCACTAATACAGCCTCACTAATACAACCTCACTAATACAACCTCACTAATACTGCCTCACTAATACAACCTCACTAATACAGCCTCACTGATATAACATTACTAATACAACCTCACTAATAAAACCTCACTAATACAGCCTCACTGATACAACATCACTAATACAGCCTCACTAATACAACCTCACTGATACAACCTCACTAATACAGCCTCACTGATAAACATCACTAATACAGCCTCACTAATACAACCTCACTAATACAACCTCACTAATACAGCCTCACTAATACAACCTCACTAATACAACCTCACTAATAAAACCTCACTAATACTGCCTCATTAATACAACCTCACTGATACAACCTCACTAATACAACCTCACTGAAACAGCCTCACTGATACAAACTCACTAATACAACCTCACTAACTCACTAATACAGCCTAACTTATTCAACCTCACTGATACAACCTCAATAATACAACCTCACTGAAACACCCTCAGCCTCACTAATACAGCCACACCAATACAGCCTCACTAATACAACCTCACTAATACAACCTCACTAATACAACCTCCCTAATACAACCTCACTAATACAACCTCACGAGTACAGCCTCACTAATACAGCCTCACTGATACAACCTCACTAATACAACCTCACTAATACAACCTCACTAATACAACCTCACTAATACAACCTCACTAATACAACCTCACTAATACAACCTCACTTATACAGCCTCACTGATACAGCCTCACTAATACAGCCTCACTAATACAACCTCACTAATACAACCTCACGGAAACAATCTCACACACATAACTTCGCTCACCCAACCTCAACCACAAATTTACTATTCTATCTAATTTTGTCACCCACGTACATTCACCCACACAAACTCAATTACACAACCTCCCACCTCACTCACACAAGCTCACTCAAACCATCTTAATCACACAACGCCTCCCACGAAACCTCACACACACAACCTCACGCACGCAACCTCACTCTAAGAACTTCACTCACGCAAAACGTCACACACACAGCCTCACTACACCCTAACTCATGCAAGTTCACTCACAAAATCTCACCAAAAACCTCGATCACACAACATCACCCACAGAAACTCACGCGCAAAACCCGTTCCAAAAAATAACACAACCTACCTAACCATCACACCGTAATGCTCACAACAAATATATAGTCTAATATTTGAAGTTGATGTGCTGAGAAATGATTTTAAAACAATTAATTAATAAGTTTTCTTGTATTCTAGATTTTCCCCCGTAGTTTCCTTTTATGCTAGATTTTGCCCCGTAGTTTCCATTTATTCTAGTTGTTAAAAATGTAATAGGGAAACATACGACTACAGTAATGGCAACAATTAAAAGCCATCTGAACGATAAAAATCAAACCAAGTTGTGCCAACGCTCCATGTCGACGTTGTTACCGGTAAGTCTACAAAAATAACTCTAACTGAGAGCATCCGTGTACTGTAAACAATGATGATTGATGTGCTACCAGTAAAATCAATGATGGCATTTCATCCTGCTCTCCGGCATTTTTTTCCCCATGTCATAGCCCTTGGACCCAGGTAACAAACCATGCGTGAACTCGGGGCTTTTAGGCTTATACCGAAGTCGTGTCTCGCGTGAGTGGTTTTGAAAGTGTGGCCGTGTGAACTAATCACACTCTCAAACTTTTTTT